CAAATTCAATATGGTGAAAAAGCAAATACAGCTGACCTTGATCAACAGAGGTGTGAACTGTGGGGACCCACTTATGTGCTCGTTTTCTTCTGCTTCTGCCCCCTGAGACAGCAAAACCAGCACACCCCTCCTCCTCAGCCTACTCAACGTGAAGACCATGAAGATAAAGACCTTCTCATGCTGACCCACACTACCATTTAATGAATACTAAATATATTTTCCTTATCATTTTCTTAATAACATTTTCTTTTCTCTAGCTTACCTTATTGTAAGAATACAGCATGTAATACACAAAACATACCAAACGTGTTCATCGACTGTTATGGGTAAGGCTTCCTGTCAACAGCAGGCTGTTCACAGTGAAGTTTTGGGGCAATCAAACATTATATGCAGACTTTCAACTGCACAGGGGGAAGCACTCCTAACTCTCATGTTGTTCAAGGGTCACTGTAATGTCTTAGTATAGTTATAAGAGGTTTGACCTCGTAGACCCCCAAGAGAGTCTTGGGAAACCCAGGGATCTCTGGGTCACACTTTGGGAGCCACTGGTTTAGAAGATACTTATTAAACAATCAATATATACATTCCAGCTGACTTGCACATTTGATACTGTATTTAGAAAAACCAAAGGGTGAAACGGAACCAAGGCTGAGGGAGGAGGTGAAACAGATACACTAAGCTCCAATTAAAATTTTCTAACATAAAGCTGATTTATGAAACCACAAACATAAGTATTATGACAAAACCCAGGTTTTTTCTTTTAAAAATTTTGCATATATCCGAATTCATCACTCTGAAGAAAAGGGAAATCTTAAAAGACAGTTTTGTACTAACTAAACCCTAACAGCAAACCAGAATCCCGGAAACATACCCCAAGACCAGAGCACATCTTCCTACCTCTGCCATCTCTTTGATTTTCTGCTCATAGAACTCCTGCTCTTGTTGCACAGCTGGAAGGAGAGCACGCCAGTCATAGGACCTACAATGTCGTCGCTTATTTTCAAAACAGAAGATCCTCTTTTCTATTTTTATGTCACCTGGAAGACATACGACAATGCAAAAGCATGCAGACAACTGTGTGTTAGGAATCTGGGCCAGCCATGTCCATTCTTCCCGGCCTCATCCTCCCTCTTCTCTCTGGTGGTACGTTTCATGACTTCTCTACCACACTCTACCATTTGGGAAGACTGGGCTTCTTACCATTTGCCAACCTACTATCCATTTTTTGACCTTTCTGGTTCTTTCCCTCTGTTTATGCTCCATTGGAAGGCATCTCCTATTCTGTCACTAGTGTACTATGTGAATGTACCACAATTTATTATCTATTTCACTACTGAGGACATTTGGGTTTACTGTTTTGGGTTAATCTGAATAGTGCTGCTTATAGCCATGTGTTGGTGAATGTATGTCCGCAATTTAGCTGGGAATTGCTAGATCATGGGATAGGCTTACTTCCAGCTTTAGAAAATAATGCCAGTGTTCCAAAGTGGTTGTACCAGTTTACACCCTTCCTCTATCAGCAACGCATGTGAGTTCCAGTCTCTCCATGTCCTTACCAACACCTATCCTTGGTTTTTAATTTTAGCCATTCTGGTGGGTGCAAATGTGCCATATGTTTTTCAACCGTTTTTATTTTGAAAGCATTCAAATATATAAGGGGTGGAAGGAATAGTACCTAGATTCACCACAATATATTATAACATGAGAATAAAAGAAAGCAGAATGACAAATATCAGACATATAATTGATCTGTTTAGGTTCTGTATTTCTTTTGCTGATTTGGCAAATTATGATTTTCTTTTTGGAGACAGAGCCCCGCTCTGTTGCTCAGGCTGGAGTGCAGTGGCACATTCATAGATCACTGCAGCCTCGACTCCTGGGCTCAGGTGATCCTCTTGCCTCAGCCTCCTAAGGAGGTGGGACTATAAAGGCAGATGCCACCACGCCCAGTTAATTTTTTTGTATTTTTTTAGAGATGGGATTTTTCCCGTGTTGTCCAGGCTGGTCTTGAAGTCCTGGGCTCAAACCATCCACCAGTCTTGGCCTCCCAGCCTCCCAGCCTTGGCCTCTCAAAGTGCTGGGATTACAGGTGTGAGCCACAATGCCTGACCAATTTATATTTTCCTAGAAAACTTTATCTCATCCAGATTTTCAATGTACTCTTGTCTTTTCTTGGTAATCTCTTGATTTTAACATTTACTATCTGGTTCCTAATACATTTTATTTTGATTCTCCTTTTCTCTTGCTCATTCTCACATTTTTTTTTAATTCAAACTTTTTCTTCAGAAAACCAGTTTTTGGGGCCAGGCGCAGTGGCTCACGCCTGTAATCCCAGCACTTTGGGAGGCCAAGGACGGCACATCATCTGAGGTGAGGAGTTCAAGACCAACCTGTACAACATGGTGAAACCCCGTCTCTACTAAAAATACAAAAATTAGCCAGGCGTGATGGCACACACCTGTAATTAATCCCAGCTACTTGAGAGGCTGAGGCAGGAGAACTGCTTGAGCTTGGGAAGCAGACTCCGTCTCAAAATTAAAAACAAAACAAAACCAGTTTTTGGTATTATGAGAATAGAAAAGCACATGATTAGAGAGTAAGCTTTGAAGCCAGATTCCCAGCTCGGCTACTCGCTAGCTGTGTAACATGTGCCAAGTTACTTAACCTCTCTGTGTTTCAGTTTTTTTTCTACAAAATGATAATAATGGCACATACATCTCATAAGGTTATTTGAAACATAAACGAATTAATCCATTAAAGCACTTAGAAAAGTGACTGGTACATATTAAGTGCTAAATAAATGTTAGTTATTATAATTATCAATGCTACAAATTAAAAAAAAAATTCCACCCTCTATTATTTCTTTTGTCTTTACTCAGTTCTTTTTGTAGTTTATCATGTTAAAGTAGTAAGATTTATTTTCAGTCCTTTAATTTTATTTATTTACTTTTTTAGAGACAGAGTCTTGCTCTGTCACCCAGGCTGGAGTGCAGTGGCGTGATCTTGGCTCACTGCAAACTCTGCCTCCCAGGTTCACGCCATTCTCCAGCCTCAGCCTCCCGAGTAGCCGGGACTACAGGTGCCCACCACCACGCCTGGCTAATTTTTTTGTATTTTTAGTAGAGATGGGGTTTCACTGTGTTAGCCAGGATGGTATCGATCTCCTGACCTTGTGATCCGCCTGCTTCGGCCTCCCAAAGTGCTGGGATTATAGGCGTGAGCCACTGCGCCTGGCCTCAGTCCTTTATTTTTAAAAATAAATGCGATTAAGTCTATACACTTCCCTCTAATTTATTTTCCTGAAGGACCATAAAAAGGACAGAGGAGGGAGACCCTGTCTCACTCTGAGTCAAGCAATTATAGTCCAAAGAGCAGTGCTTAGATGGAAAACAAACTGAATAGGAAAAAAATGGGATGCCTGGAACAGATAAGGGATTCTTAGCCTGTGTCCTTATAAAAAGCTGTTAAAAAAGGCTAAGTATGAGTCATAGACATTAAACTACTAACATAAATCTAATGTATTTTTTATCTCATACTTACAGGGTCCTTAAAGATTATCTGATAATTAAATTTAAGACTCAGCATCTAAATTAAAGTGCTATACCTAAAACAAGGGTCTGAATCAAATAAAATGAAGTTAACAGGGAAAAATGTGAGATGCAGCGAAACTGAGAGAGTAATATGACCTGACAGCAATGTGGGTGAAAAGAGCAAGGCTGAATGTGAGCAGACCTCATGTGGAGTATGATGTCCAGTCTTCTACACCCCAACTTTCAAAAAGACCCTGACAAGCTAGAGAAGGGCACGTAGGGACAGGGAGAAGAGCAGTCAGGCTGACGAAGGGGTAACAGCCAGAATCTGTCTCTCCATAGGCAAGAACTACAACCACGGCTGGAAACTTCAGGAAGTACATGCTGACTTAATACAAAGGAAGAACTGTCTAAAAGATGGAGCTGACCAACAAGGGAGTCAACTATCTTGCAACGTAGCACTTTCTCCACCACTGAAGTCAGAAACAAACGCTGTATGGCTATGTACAAGGATGCCTGTTCTGGACTGTGGGTAAATTTGGCTGAATGAAAAACCACCTGCACAGTGCCCCTAGTTCTACATTCTGCCACAGGCCAGGAGAATGTCATGTCAGCAGGGCACTGCTCCACAGACTGGCTTAGGAACCTCAGGAGTCATAGCCTAAGGGATTTACTTTTAGATCCTGAAAAGTTCATAGTAAATACAAATACTGCCAGGCATGGTGGCTCACGCCTGTAATCCCAGCACTTTGGGAGGCCAAGGCGGGTCAGGAGATCGAGACCATCATGGCTAACATGGTGAAACTCCGTCTCTACTGAAAAATACAAAAAACTAGCTGGGCGTGGTGGCAGGCACCTGTAGTCCCAGCTTCTTGGGAGGCTGAGGCAGGAGAATGGTGTGAACCCAGGAACCAGAGCTTGCAGTGAGCTGAGATCGCGCCACAGCACTCCAGCCTGGGTGACAGAGCAAGACTCTGTCTCCAAAAAAAATAAATAAATAAAAAGCAAATACAAATACTTTCCAGCTTTATATAGTCACCTGAGTTTCCACTTAGTCATACCTGATATCAAGTGTGGTAATTAAGTGCACACATAACAGAAAGGGATGATCTCTAGAAAAGTTGTAGTAACTCCTTTACTGGGTAGAAGCAACTCAGATAAAATCTGAGTTGTTATAAAACTCAAGTTTACATTTCTGGGGATGAGACCTGAAGTAACCTCTTCGAAAGGGTTTTCAGCAGTTATTTCATCAATAAGAATGACAGAATTTTGGAGAAACATGTGGCTATTGGCCATTCTCTCAGTTGCATAAGTGACCCTCTGCAGTAAGGCCTCATTCATAAGTCTGGGCAGTTTTTACCTAACAACACAGCCAATTTTCATCAAACCTTCAAGACCAGTTTTTTCCCCAAGCTTAACAGCATACTCAAATACTTTCTCACACATGAATTTTCTACCACACAAAATTTTCCTGCCATGGTTTATCTTAAGTAGGAAGAAGGAAGCCAACAAGTGCAGCCACTTTCTGAAAATTTTGATGTGCTTAGAAAATAGTTCCTGTCAGTCACTCCTTGGACTGGCCTGGCCAGATGCTCAGCAGATGGCAGACACCTGTAGCACGGCTTCCTTCACTGACTGTGAAGAAGAAAAGATACAGTGTTGCAGCTACACACTGCCAGCAACACAGTTTACATTACCTTGTTCAAACTTGAAATCGATGTAAGAATACTGGTTCATTTCTTTTCTCTTCTTCCTTTTTCCACCGGTTTCTGGTGATAGCTCCAGACATTTTTTCATGGCATCAGAAAAGGCCTAAAAATTGAGAAAGCGAGAGGTTACTTCTGTAAATGGAAAGTAAGAATACACAAGACAGGCAATCCCCAAATGCCATTTTAACACATCTTCAGCTTTCTTCCCAGCACGGCTAACAATAGGTAGTGGCGGCTGGGTGCGGTGGCTCATGCCTGTAATCCCAAAACTTTGGGAGGCCAAGGCGGGTGGATGCTTTGAGGTCAGGAGTTCAAGACCAGCCTGGCCAACATGGTGAAACTCCATTTGTACTAAAAATACAAAAATTAGCTGGGTATGGTGGTGCACGCCTGTAATCCCAGCTACTCAGAAGGCTGAGGCAGGAGAATGGCTTGAACCGGGGAGGCGGAGATTGCAGTGAGCCAAGACTGCACCACTGCAATCCAGCCTGGGTGAAAGAGTGAGACTATGTCTCAAAACAAAAACAAAAACAAAAACAAAAAAAAAAAAAGAATAGGCAGTGGTAAATAGGCAGAATTTATTTTCATTTTCTCTGACTTTCATAAACTGGTACAGTGGTGGAAGCAAAACACTTAATGACAGATTAAAGAGTAACTAGGGAAAAGAAAAACTGTTGGCAGGGTGCAGCGGCTCACACCTGTAATCCTAGCACTGTGGGAGGCTGAGGGGGATGGATCGCTTGAGCTTAGGAGTTCAAGGCTAGCCTGGGCAACATGGGAACACCCCATCTCTACTAAAAATACAAAAAGACAGCTGGGAGTGGTGGTCCACAGCTGTGGTCCCAGGTACTCAGAGGCTAAGGTAGGACAATCACTTGAGCCTGAGAGGCAGGGTTGCAGTGAGCCATGATTGTGCCACTGCACTCCATCCTAGGTAACACAGGAGACCCTGTCTCAAATAAAACAAAACTGTCCAAGCTCTCCTTGAATAAGTACAGGTTAAATCACACAATGGGCTGGTGAGTTCCATTCTGTAGGTAAATCTTCCACGTTGTTTCTCTGGTTAATGCTCGTCTTTACTCTCCCCTAACCTGCTTCCCCCACGCTCTTCTCTGCGTGTACCTATATCCACCCCACCCTTGGACAGGATGCTGAAGTATAAAATCCTTCCACTGGTGAGGATCCCTTTTCTTTCCTACCTTCAGCTTCTCCCTCTTAGATTTTGCTTATCAGGATTTAAATGCATTCAAGTCAGGGAGGCTCACGCCCAGGGTGGCTCATGCTTGTAATCCCATCACTTTGGGAGGCTGAAGCAGATGGATCATCTGAGGTCAGGAGTTTGAGACCAGCCTGGACAACATGGCAAAACCCTGTCTCTACTAAAAATACAAAAAAATTAGCTGGATGTTGTGGCATGCGCCTGTAATCCCAGCTACTTGGGAGGCTGAGGCAGGAGAATCGGTGAACCTGGTAAGCGGAGGTTGCATGAGCTGAGATCGTATCATTGCACTCCAGCCTAGGCAACAGAGCGTGATTCTGTCTGGGGAAAAAAAAAAAAAAAGGGCTCAAGTCTTTGCCATCCTAAAAAAGGGACACAGAAGGGGTACCTGATTTGAACAGGAAGGAGGGGTGTATGAGGTAGGGCCATTCTGCCTGGAAGAGAAGAAGGAAGAGTGGGAACCTTTCAGGAAGACCGGGTGGGACTCCTGAGTGTGGCAGGGGGTAGGAGGCCCTGGGGCTCATGTCCTGTGGCTACGCTGTTAGGATGCAGGGCAGGCTGGGGTCCAAGCCTGGGCGGCATGAGAAGGGGGGTGGCTATGATGGCAATGTTTGTCTGAAACTCCTGCTGAAACTTAATCCCCAGTGTGGCAGTGTTGAGAAGGTGATCTCATCTCTCTTTCAATGCCAGCCCCTCTTTCTTCTTCCCCTCTTTGTAGAGAAACTTATCAAAGGAGCTGTTTATCTTCTGTTTCACCACCTCACCCTTATGACCACAAGCTTTCCAGCTGTCTCTAATCTGGCATCTACCCTGCCTTTGCACTTACTAATCTATGCTTATTATTGAGTGGCCAAGTCTACAAGTCTACCATCTGCATTTTAGTCCTCATCTTGCACAATCTCTTAGCAGTATTTAATAACAGGCTGGGCATGGTGGCATCCCAGTGCTTTAGGAGGTTGAGGCGGGAGGACAGCCTGAGGTCAGGAGTTCAAGACCATCCTGTACAATCTAGCAAGACCCCATTTCTACAAAAAACAAAATAAAAAGATCATCCAGGTGTGGTGGTATGCACCTACAGTCCTAGCTACATGGGAAGCTGAGGCAGGAGGATGGCTTGAGCCCAGAAGGTCAAGGTTGCAATAAGCCATGATTGTGCCACTGTACTCCAGCCCGGGTAACAGAGAGAGACCCTGTTACTAAACAAGAATAACAATGATGATGATGATGATAATACAGACTGCTCCAGTCTCACAACTTCCTCCTTCCTGTCTGCCTGCCTCCTCCGCTTGCTCTTCACATGTCACCAGTCCTCTCTTCTCACCTGATATCTCTGGGTACCTCATCCTGGCTGGTGAGATTTTCCATATGCTAATGACTCTCAAAGTCCTATCACCATAAAACCCAAGGAGACACACACACACACACACACACACACACACAGAAACCTAAAAACTTTTCTACAGTCTGTATTTTCCAAACTTTTTAGTCCATTCAACCTTCCAGTGAATTATTTTTACTTAGATGTCTCACAGGCCCTTTTCAGCACACTGGCAACCAGTGTTTCCCAGACTGAATTCATGATTATTTCCCTCCAAAGCAGATGTTTATACTAGTTCTCACCCCAACAAATGATACCAACATCTTCCACCAAACTCCTACTTGGGTCTGTGATTAAATGTTCCTTGCTCAGGGAGGCCCTTCTGGAGACCCTTGGTCTACCTTAGGTTGCCTCCTATTTTACCCTTTCAAAGCCCCTCTATTTTTCTTTCAGTCTTTTTTTGGCCGGGCACGGTGGCTCATGCCAGTAATCCCAGCACTTTGGGACGCTGAGGCAGGCGTATCATCTGAGGTTAGGAGTTGCTGACCAGCCTGGCCAACATGGTGAAACCCTATCTTTACTAAAAATACAAAACTCAGCCAGGTGTGGTGGTGAGCATCTGTAGTCCCAGCTACTCAGGAGGCTGACGCAGGAGAATCGCTTGAACTGGGGAGGCAGAGGCTGCAGTGAGCCAAGATCGCGCCATTGCACTCCAGCCTGGGTGACAGAGCGAGACTGCATCTCAAAAAAAAAAAAAGGTGGAAGGGGCTTGGCCTACCTCAGCATGAGCCACAGTCCTCGGCTTGGTTCTTCCCTTCCTACAGGTAAAACCCAATGAGTATTTTAACCACTACGATAATTCCACGTTTGTCCTTTGGACAAAAGAAACATTACAGTGTTTGCTGAGAATCACAAGAACTTCAGTAGAATAGAATTTAATGGCAGTAAGAGCGACCAAGAGGAGTAAGCCAAGGTCTCTGCTAGTGCATGCACTTCTGTTCTGGCCACAGCTACAAAGCGGGCACCGTGTGCTGTCCTTCATGGAAGATGTCTGTGTTACCTACCACGAACCAGCACCCTTCTCACCCTTAACAAAGGCCTTTAAGTGCTATCTATTTTAGGATCCTGGGGGGAAAATGCTAGGAGCTGTCAGTAGCTGCCCATTCTTGTTCCCGGACTCTTTACAGACCTTACGTCCTATCACTGATAACTGAGCCATCTGGGGGATGGATGGTCGTGTGACCTATCCGAAGTCGGAAAGCAAATCAGGAAGGAGCAGGATTAGAACGCATCTTTCATACTCCTGCGTTCCACAGTAGAATGTATTACCCTCCATGTTTTTATGGTCAAACTAGAGCTTCTCTGCTTCTCATCTATCTATTATTTCTTTTCATTTAGCCCTTCATGACCAGCAAATACCTATTTATCTTCACTCTAATTCCTTAGCAATCATAAACCATCCCAATTTCCACAAGCTGGACTGTTCATTCTGTTCTCATGGGAAGATGTAGCCAAGAGGTGTGACCCCAAGAGGAAGACCAAGTAGAGCACCTTTCGGGTGATTGCATAGTGTCCTTTGAGCTCGTGCAGGGCCCACTTGATGTCCTGACTACTGAGCATTTTGAAGTCTGCCATGAGGAGGTCAGCAGCTTGGATGAAGCAGCGCTGGTCAAGAGGAGTCAATTTAGAATAGTCAAAAAAGTCTATTTTAGGCAACTGAAACGAGAGAGAAGCATAAAATCAGAGGCCAGGCAGTACATTTCCCATGTAAGTGAAATCATTTTAAGAATTACATGTGTAGAAAAGAATAACATTTGTTCTAATTACTCTATAAGGAAGTTACCAGCCCTATAAGAGAGATGAGAAAATGGTGGCTCAGAGAGGTTAAACGAACCTGTCTGGAGCCGACAGACTAGTTTTACTAGTTATAACTAGTAAAGAAGTATAGTTGGGGATTTAAACCAATATTTCAGCCATCTTCCTTCCATAACATATTTACAAACAACTATTTTTTTCTATTATAGAATATGTAAGAGATATAATCAAAGAATCTATGGGGAGTTGGAAGATCAAGCAACAGATCTTAATAAAGTTAGTTCTCAACCATACTTTACCATATAATACACTAAATGCCAGTTTGGATCACAAATAATGACGATGATTAAAGTTTTTAAAAACCAAACTCTTTACATCTTGATATGAGATCTGGTTAAACAGATGTATAGTATACACTGTATACAAATCTCACATTAAAAGAAAAAAGATATTCAACTCTAGGTAACGATCTGCATGCTGACGTATTTACAGGGAAGTGTACTGATGTTTTTGCAATTTACTTTGAAATGCATTATAATGAAATGAAACATAACAAAGATGTGCTGCTGGACAGACAAAGGACATATGTATGATAAAGAGGACAGAGTAAACTGTTAACTTTCTAGTAGCACCAGTGGTAGGGATATAGGTGATCGACGTAAAATATTTCAACTTTTCTGTAGGTTTGAAAATTTTCATAATAAAATGTTAGTGTCCTGGCCAATTCTTGGAATTTGCTTTGCAGGATTAAAGATATGGAGGATTCGTTTAATTCTTTGTGGGAAAAGGAAGATAAGAATTACAAGGAAAGATAGAAGTTAAAGACAGAATTCAAAGTGGCTCAGAATGGGAGATCGCACTGAAGTATAGACCTATTCTGAAATCCTATGTCCCTCTGCTAGTCTTTAAAAACTTGTCCCAACAAAGCACTTTCTTCCCATACAGATAACAACAACAACAACAACAACAACAAACCAGGGCATTTCCAGGTAGCGACTGCAAAACAAGAACACGACACTTGCCTTTGTCTCATCCTGGCTGGCCAGCAGACTGCTACTGGGATTTATGATGATTCTATCTTCTCTCTTTGGATAATCTGGGATTTCCAGAAGAAAATTACAAAGTCCGCAAAAACAAATGATGTTACTTTCATACTGCTTCCAAATCCCACACCTGCCCATTGCTTCAAATGCAATGTTTGAAGAATATAGTCCTTAATCACACATTACAACTGGCCTATCAAGAAATTAAGATGTGTGCAGCCCAGAAAAACTAAACAGATAAATAAACAAACAAGTGCATTGAATTCCTATCTTTGTGGAAGAGAAAAAATTTAAAAAGCAATGAACATACTGATTAAGGCAAACTCCTCTGAAGTTTATGTATCAGTTAGGTGTTAATGTAATGAAGTCACTGAAACTATTATTGGTTAAACTTCAAAATTGGAAAATTTGTAAGAAAAGTAGCTATTCTTTGTCAAGAAAACTATGAACAAGTAAGAAGTGGAAAACTATTCACATTTACAGTAAAAAACAGTCTGCTAAGAAATGAAATAAATAAATGAAATATAAAAGATCTTCTGTTAATTCATTAATACTTTTTATACCCCTCTGGTAACATAAATCTCTACAGTAATATAAAGCTGTATGAGCCACTGAGTTATACTCGGTTTATTTAGCTAGCTGTTAAGCTAGACTGATGAATAGACCATGTTTTCCTACGAACAGACACTCTTCACACCAAACCCATTAGCTTTGTCTATTATCATCATGAAATACTTCCAAAGTAAGGATATATAGAGTGAGATAACACACACTGACGTATCACCACCCAGACCCAACAAATGTTAACTATTCAGGCTCTTCACAGTCAAATCAGACAACCACCTTGGAATGACTGCACAGTAGTGAAGACAGAGTGAGTGGGGTACAGCTCTAGCCACATTCAGTAGCAAGGAAGTTCCTTTGCTCAGAGGTTAATGGGGACTTCCCCTTTTCTCTGTTCTTTCTCTTGCTCCAGTAGATTCCTAGGATGAACCCCTAGGTG